CAGAACATCAGTGTGTGTTTCCCAAATGAGTGACCTTTCCCTCCCCAAGGTAAACCTGGACATTTTTTCTCCTCCTCCATTCATCTCTATCAATCGGCCCTCCTACCCCACACCTCACTTTTAACAATCTCTAGTTAACTAATGTCCTGTTCAATGAGTGTTTTCCCTTCTAGCTGGAGGGAAACATCTTAGAAATAAAAAAGCAGTCTGGAGATCAGGTTTCTTAAGCATTCTGGGAAATATGCACAATAGCAGCAATAATCACCCCCCCACACCACCACCAAAAAATAAAGTAAGAAAAGGGGGACAACGAGAGGGAAAAGATACAAACACCTAGAGCAACTTTTCCTTGGGGGGGGAGCCTCCCTGTAGCTCCCCACCCCACTAATTTCCATCCCTAAACGTGCTCTTTATAAAAAGTGTGTCACAATAGTCTGGAGTACAGACCGGGTGGGTGGGGGGTTGGGAGACGAGGGGAAGAGGGTCTTCTGGGGGGGGCTCCTATTGTAGGGGTAGGGGTCAAAGCCAGCATGATGGGCTTCCCCACCCCACCCCCATCTCGGCTTATAATTAGTGAGAGAAATTTGAGCTACTGCCAATGTCTGTGGACCTTGAATATTATAAGGCCAACGTGGCGTCAAATATCTTAACATTCATAAGTGTTATGGGCTGTAAATAAAGCCTGCGATTTATGGGCCGGTGGGGCTTGCCAGCAGAAGACTGGGGCACATTTCTTTCAGCAGACCTGTCGAGGTGCAAGTTTGCCTTTGGTTGTAAAATTAACCATTTCCTTCACAAATGTGCTCAATTATAAGTCAGCGCTGGAGATTTACTTACAGGGTTGCCAAGATTCACTCCCAGAAAAAACTCGGGCGCCCACATCACACACCCCTTCAGAAAAGAGAGCCTCGAGAATCTGACTGACCGACCCCTCCGATTCAAAACTTCTGAATTGTGTCACCTCGAAACAGTTGTAAATGTGGTTCAAGATATTATCTAACTCGACTTACCAAGACTAAAGAGCTTATACCTCGCCTACTTCCTTGGAAAGTGCTTATTTATTTGGCAACTCCACAGTTTGGGAGGGGGGGTACAGAAAAGGAGTAAATCACTCCCTGTCTGAAGTCTGGTCCCTTCCCCCAATCTGTCATCTACTTCCTGTGTCACAGGAGAGCATTTGCTAAATCCAGGTTGTCTCATACTTAACTGCCAATAAACCAGCTTCCACATAACTTCCAGACAGCTGGGGAAAAGGTCCTCGGAGTTTTAGTCATGGTCCAGAAACACGCGTCTACACAAAAATTTGCAGCTGTCCTTTCTCTGCAGTGCATTTTTAATGTGATTCGGGGGGCCCCTGTTGTGAAACATCTGACAAAATGTAAAATCCTCTTAGATACCTTTGCATTGACCCACTGTGCATGTGTAAGAGAAGCTGCACCGGCCTCTCCTCACCACGGAATCCAGCCACTCTGCTTCCACACAGGCACCTCGTGGGATGTAAGGAGGCATTGAAAACCTGGAAAGACTTCTACTGTAATCTTTAAAAGCACAGCCTCTGGTGCAACTATTAAAATGCGAGTTTTCTAAAGCAAATATTTTTTTAATGGCGTGCACTACTGCTGCTATCGGGCGCTGCTAACAGAACAGCATTCTTGATCTGCCAGCCCCCGGAAACCTTCCTGTAACTTTTTCACAGCTTGCTAAGAAACAGAAAGCTGACCAGCTTCCAGCAGTGACTCTAAATGAAATCCGTATCATAAAATTAAAATCAAGGTGGAAAACTCCAAATCTTTTCTCAATCAGATAGGGGGCATCCATGAAAGCTGCTTCCCTTCCACAGTCCAAAGTTTCCAAAAACACTTCTTCCAGATAAGCACTTTCGGCTCCCAACTGCCTACTAG